CAAGTTCGAACTCGGGCGAGGCCTCCCCCATCAGGGCTCGTTGAATTCCTCAGATTACAGAAAGAGGTTCAATAGAGTCTATTCAGTAACCGCTTCCAGGGTTTTTGCCTTTGGAATGTCCCTGGACATTTCTTCAAGAGAAGCCCAACACCCACATCCTGACAATTGGTCCCAGCAGCAGTTAGAGATTCCAAAATTCGGGGCTCCTGCTAACCTCAGTCTCATCTCAGGTGCATGGTGCTCTGATGTGCTCAGGGTGCCTCGGCCAAAACGTCCATCCATGCCATGGTGATTGATTTACTTAGTTGGTTAAGTTGTTTTTTCTGCCCCTCACTTCCTGCTGCCCCAAACTTATAGCTCTTTTAATTGCCAGTGACACAGAGCTCCCTCATTGTGTGGAATGGCCGTATGTCTTCCGTAGGCAGGATGTCGATGACAAAGGGTGGAAAGTATTGCCTGTCCACAGAGGTTCATTCCCTGTAGAAAAGTAGTTCTGTTAGGCTTCATGTTGTTACTTTTTTTTTTCATTTTTACTTTTTTATTGTGTTTTTTTTTCCCATGTTGTTACGTTTGATTCAAAGGTTAAGTCCCTGGAGTATGTGCCAATATGTCTGTCAGCTGAAAGTGAGGCTCAGGGTCAGGAATGTTTCCCGTACTATTCACTCACATAATTTTTTCCCCCATTAAATAATCAAAGGACTGTTAGGCTGTATTGTTATGTGAGACTGAGGGTTCCAATTTACAAAACAACCCTGGAACCTCTGGTGACTTTCTCTCCACTGGCACCTGGTAGTAAGCCAGCAATTGTCTTTGGAGAGCAGTAGACTTCTCAGCTGCTGGAATTACTGCCTTCGTCCAACATCCTACATACCTTTGCTACATTTTTCCTCCTAGGATCTGCCATCTTACCTCCTCTTCCCAAATTGTCTTGGTAGGAGAGGCAAGAATCACAGAGACCTCAAATCTTATCTTTTTTTCTGATCTATAGTGCCCAAGGGGTAGAGCTGACAGAATGTGGCTTGTAACTTGGCCAGGGCCAATCACAGAGGCTCCCCTGAACCCATGGTCAAGGCTATTTTCAAAGTAGGTAGCCTTTTGGATAACCCAAGATGTTGAATGCACAGGAACTACAAGGGGGAGCCTGTTCTGACTCTAAAACTCAAATACCCCCAAGAGCTGCTGTACTTCCCTACGGGGTGGGGGTCGTGGTGGTTACATCTGTTTCACTACTCCAGGAAACCTTGTCCACTGGGTCCCTCGTGGCTGGTCCCCAGACCTGAGGACACATGCTCATCCACTCCAGGTATGATGTCAAGAACTGTAGTGTCTCAGTCCCTTTTGTTTCAGGGGATCTTTGCAATTCCTATAGTGGGTACCTGATCACTGAGAAAAGAAGAAAGAAGACAAGGATGCATGATGGGACCACCTGAGGCACTCGAACCTGATCTGTCCCTTTTCCTTTTCCCTTCTCTCACTTAAAGTCAAGGGAGCACCCAATTGTTATTGATGTTATGTCCAGTATGTTATGTTCTGGAAAGAGGATGGACCAGTGTATAAAAGGAACCCTTGGCAGGCAAAGCAGGCAATATCTTTGTTTTAGTTTCAGTTTTTTAAAGCATATGTTAGCTCTACCACGATAGCATTCATGGTTTATTGCAAGACCCAATACATTTTGGGCAGCTGTTAATTTAATTCTCTGTATTCTACAGGGAGCCTTCAGGTGCTATTACCTTTTCCTATGGAGAATTTCATACTTCCAGAGAATTTCAAACTGGGGGGACATTTGTGGGGAGCATTCTGGGTAAGGGGATGCGGTGATACTCATGGCGACTAACCAATGGGTATATCAGCTCCTCAGGGTTACCAAAATAAATTTGCGCAGCTGTAACAGAAAACAACAGAAGCTTATTCTCTCACAGTTCTGGAGGCTAACAGTCTGAAATCAAGGCGTTGGCAGGGCCACGGTCTCTCCAGAACTTCTAAGGGTGACTACTTCCTTGCTTCTTTTAGCTTTTTAGCTTGGTCACTTCAGGCATTCCTTGGCTTGTGGCAGCAAAACTCCACTCTCGGCCTCCACTGTCACATGGTGTTCTCCCTGTGTGTCTCTTGTCCTCTTCTTGTAAGGACACCAGTCATACTGGACTAAGGGCCCATGCTTCTCTAGTATGATATCATTTTAACTTGATTACATTTGCAAAGGCCTTATTTCCAAAAAAGAACATATTTACCAGTAGGACTTGAACATCTCTTTTGGGGAGACGATAAACCCACTTCAGTGGGTATCCACTTTCCATGCCCATACCAAAGAGTTTGAGGGAGTACATCCCAGCCACAGCCCTGAATTAGAAAATAGAAATCTTTCAACTAAGATCAGGTTACACTGTCTTAGAACATTTCATTCTGCATTGCTGTTTTCCTTCTTTTTCCATCCTTAGAAACTGCAATATGGCTTTTTCTTGGAGGCTCCATGGTCAAGGTCACACTACTTTTCTTAAAAAAGATTTTATTTATTTACTTTTAGAGTGAGGGGAAAGAAGGGAGAGAGGGAGAGTAACATCAGTGTGTGAGAGATTGCACACCCCCAACTGAGGACCTGGTCTGCCACCCAGGTATGTGCTCTGACTGGGAATTGAACTGGTGACCTTTTGGTTCGCAGGCCTGCACTCAATCCACTGAGCTACCCTGGCCAGGGCAAGGTCATACTACTTTAATTTTTGTCATATGGGCTTTGTTGACTCAGGGCATTCTTCTGAGTTTGTCCAAGTTATTTTTACCCCCTTCACAGGCTTCTATTTTCCCGCATTAGCCAGTTCCTACAGCATTTATACTTGAAGTTTTGGGGGATACCAGTAGAATCATCAATGGCTTTATTGATAAGTTTTAAGATCCTTCTTGTTCTACATATCCAGAGAGGGATTTAGCAAGTCTTTGATTAATATATATCCACATAGTTCTTGTTTACAAATGCTTTGGGCTCCCTTAGCACGATTCCTCAAAGCTTTCATAGGTTTCCTGTGGTAGATATGTTGACTATCTATTCCTAGCAGTGTTCAGGTTTTTAATACAGTTATCAACTTTCCTCCCATACCACTCATACGCTCCTGGGGAAGCTGACCTTATGCTACTCCAGAAGTGGGACTAATTTTTCAAAAGGAAATGACCAGCTCTCTTGTCAGTGATGGGCTAAGGAACTCAGGCTGAAACCCACCATTGCATGACGCTGTCCTAGCAAAGGCAATTTTTCCCGGAATGGCCATGTAACCCAGTGGGAGACAAGTGGAAAAGTCCTGCAGGGAGTGGGGGTGGGGGGGCGCTTCTGAGAAATGAATGTCTTACATTTTAAGCTGGTCCCTTCTTTTCTCTCAATCCTGTGCAGAGGCCTGAAGCCGGGAACTGCTGTTGTCACCTTGCTCCCGGCCTGGGAATAAAGCTGACACCCTGCAGGGGGACACAGCTGAGGGAAGTGTAGAGACCAGATTTGGAGCTGTGACTGACCCACATTCAGTCATCACCTGACAATGGTCTTTTTCAATAATGTTTGGATTGGATTTCCTGTTTCTAAGAACTGTTTGAATTGGGTTTTCTGTTCCCTGTTTGAAAGCATTTTAACTGGCACATTCTGATGGGTGTTTCTGGGCAAATACAGACCCATCAGAAGAGATGGTAATTCCCATCTGGCTCCCAAGGGAGTGCATTTCTCTTGTGTTAAGCAGAGGGGTCAGGTTCTATGATCTTGTATTTGTAGAAGTTGGTCATCAATTTGGCATCACCAGATTTCTGGCAATAGTTGCCTATCCTCTGCTATACTTCTGTTTAAGTCAGGCCCTGGGAACTTCCAGACCTACTTAATTATCTCAAGTGACACAGTTTCTTCTGCAGTTGTTATCAAGTAACCCTTACAGATTGGGTGAGCAGAGAGATCATCCGGATCAATGGATTGCTTTGACTTCTGAGCCTACCTTTGGTTTACCAAGTATTGCTAAAGAGAAGCCATGGGATTTTCCAAACGGAAGGCATTACAGATTCATGACCCACATGTGGACCGTCTAATGCTTACTCTGCTCCTCTATGCAGTAGCAGTTTAAAATCTCCTTCACTTGCAGCAGATATTCTCACCTATTTACAGAAAAATTAAAAACAAACAAACGTCAGGCAGGAGCCACAACCTGCCTCCATGAAAACAAAGACATATCAGCCTTTACTCTAGTCCTCAAAGGTTTCAAAGAAAGCAGCATCCTGCCTGCCCTCCAAGCTTGGGGTGCAGGAGCTAGGGGCCCTGGGCTTACCCATGGAGCCCAACGAAGGGGAGGGAAGAGAAAGAGAAACAAAACAGGATAGGCCACCCAACAGTGAGAACTAGAGAAGCAGGAAATGGGGCCTGCAGCTAAACTCTGGCGGTGACTCTTAGGAACATACAAGAGGATGCCCCGCCTGCGGATCACGCTGCGCAGCCTGCCCAGCTTGCCCAGCCACAAAGCGAGGCCTCAGGCCTAGACAGTCTTAGGTCTGTAGCGGAACATTCAGAACATTGAGAACCTCCCTGTCTGCAGCCCCTAGCCTGGGGGTGGAAAAACAACCCTCAGAGGCACGGGAGGCCGAAGGCGAGCTGCTGCGGAGGCCCGTCTCGTTATCCCTTTGCTGCCCTAACATAAATCCTGTAGTCTCTCTGCCCACTTGGTGCAGACAACAAAATTTTCCATGGCTCGCCCTTTCTGGTGGAGAGTATGTTCCAGAAACAGGCACGCCAGGGAATTGGGGCAGAGGAGAACTCTAACACAGAGTAAGAGAGTTTGCGGGATGGGGTGGGGCTGACACTGGGCCAACCTGCTTCCCGGCGGGGCCCTGGGGCGGGGCAGCAAAAGGGGGAACTCTTCCGAAGGACCCCGCTGCCGACCTCCCGCCCCCTGCGCTCCCTCCCGCCGGAGAAGGCCAACTCCGCCTGCCTGAGTCACGGCAGGAGCTGGGGAGGAGCCGGGGAGAGGCGGCCCCAGCCCAGAGCTCCGCCGGCGGTCGCAGGGAGAGCAGGCCGGGCATCATGGGGGAGAGTGCACTGGAGCCGGGGCCGGCGCCCGGAGCGCCGCCGGGGGGCCCAGTGCACGCCGTGACGGTGGTGACCTTGCTAGAAAAGCTGGCCACCATGCTGGAGGCGCTGCGGGAGCGGCAGGGGGGTCTGGCGCAGAGGCAGGGCAGCCTGGCCGGCTCGGTGAGCCGCATCCAGAGCGGCCTGGGCGCGCTGAGCCGCAGCCACGACACTACGAGCAACACGCTGGTGCAGCTGCTGGCCAAGGCGGAGCGCGTGGGTTCGCACGCCGATGCTGCCCAGGAGCGCGCGGTGCGCCGCGCCGCCCAGGTGCAGCGGTTGGAGGCCAACCACGGGCTGCTGGTGGCGCGCGGGAAGCTCCACGTCCTGCTCTTCAAGGTCAGTGACCTCAGCATCCCCCAATCCGGGACCTTTTCCCGCCTCCCGGCCACCATCTGGGGGCTCTCCCCTCCCATCCGCCCACCACACCCACATTCCTGATCCTGCCTTGTAGAACGGACTTGAGAGCCACACCCGCTCCCCACACCCAGCCCATCCCTCCCTCCCACGCCTAAACCCAGCCTGGCCAATCAAAGCCCGGCCAGCGCTAGCTCAGGACACGTCCACAGAATGTGCCCCAAGTTTCCGCCCATCCCTGGAAGGAAGTAACGGCGGTGGAAGTGCATCCCGCCACAACGCCTTGGCCCATCTCCAGTGCTTGTCCCTATGGCCACTATCCTGGTCTCACGCCCCTAAGCAGGTCCCACCTATTTTACAAACTTCTGCAGTTCGCCCCGCCCCCTTCTTCCCACTCCTGCCTGTTCGTTCCCACTCGGGTTGCAGAGGCTAAGGGTGGGGCGGGTTCCTCTGCTGTAATTGAGGAGTGAGACTTAGACTGATGCGGGGTAGGAGGTTCCCAGGGTCAGTGTCCTGTCCATCACATGCAGGAGGAGGCTGAAATCCCACCCAGAGCCTTCCAGAAAGCGCTGGAGCCTGTAGGCCAGGTGGACCAGTCTGAGCTCAGCCCAGAGCAGCCGGAGGCCGAAGTTGGGGGGAGTTCCGATGAGGAGCCGGTGGAATCCAGGGCTCAGCGGCTGCGGCGCACTGGGTTAGAGAAAGTACAGAGCCTGCGAAGGGCCCTTTCCAGCCGAAAAGGCCCTGCAGCGCCAACGCCCACGCCTGTCAAGCCACCTCGCCTCGGGCCTGGCCGGAGCGCTAATGGCCCGCCGGAAGAAGCCCAGCCTGCCCTGGAGTCCGAGCTGCCGCCAGAACCTCCGCAGGACACAGAGGAAGATGCCGGGAGACCTGGGGCTGCCGACTTGGCTGTGCTTCAAATAGAGAGTGCGGCCTGATGGCTGCTGCGGCCTGCCTGCCCTGTGCCTGTGCCTAGTCCCAAAATAAATCTTCCTTTCAGAATGCAGCATTCACGCCCAAATAAGGAGTGAGTCCTGCAACCACAGCCCAGCTCTGGCCCTCCCTTCCCAGCTTCTGCCCAGCACCCTGTGTCCTAGGAGCAGCCACTCACACCTGCCATCACCATCAATAAAAGTAATATTACCTAATCCAGACTCCATGGGAAGAGATGCGTGTGTGGGGGGGGGGGGCGGTGGTAAGTGGGGGGAGGTGGTGCAAAGAATAGACGAATGTTGGAACCAAGAATGTGGCTTCAGTTTCAAACAGTTCATTGTATGGTTTCTCTAGTTTCCACTGAATCCTGGGCTCTACTTCAGTGGCACATAGAAATATCCTGCTGGTGGCTTGCTCCTTAAGTGCTTTCCTCTGGGGGACACATCCAGTACAGTCCCTTGCTGTTGGTGCTCAATAGATGTCAACTTACAGTTTTCTTCTTAGTCTCCTCTTCCTCTACCACCTCCTGAAAGTTGGGCTTCCCTGGATTCTGTTCTTAGTCCTTTTTTTCATTCTGGGTACTTGGTTAACATTAGCTTCTACCAGCCACGTACACCCCAGACCATTGTCTTGAGCTGCAGTTGAAAAGTACTGCAAATTCAATGTGTTCAATCTACTTTGTACCTTTTAAGTAAGTTCAACTTCAATGTCACGGCTATCTATTGAGTGCTTAACTATTTATATTCCAAATTGCTCCTCTTGGGTTTTCTTTACCAGTGAGTGGGTCATCATCCACACAGAAATCTGGCAGTCCTCATTGACTCTTCTGACACGCCCCTAACACATGGAAACAGTTCCTCTGATGCTTTGACCTCTGCAATCCACTTTTTGAAAAACCCATGGCTGCTGTCCTGTTTCAGGCCTTATCTGACAGTCACATTTGAACTGCCGATCTGATTCCATCACCCTGCTGGCTGGGGCCCTTCAGTGGCTCCCCATCACTCAGGATGAAGTCCAAGCTCTTTAATCACATTACCTTCAACATCTTTGTGTAACATTTAATGATCTGGTCCCTGCTCATTTTTGTAGCCTCACCTCCATTTCTGTATTTCCCACACCAAATACTATGCTTGGCACCCAGTAGGGCGTCATGAAGCAAGAGCATCACTGAAGTGAGAAACGGGAGGGACTGGGTAGGAATGGGAGCACAGTCATCTGCCCATTCATTCAGTCATGGTCATATAAAAATAGACTTCGAGCACCTGCTGCGATCCAGGCTCTGTGCTAGGACTTGTGAACACCAAGATGACAATACTTTCTGAGAACTTCAAGGGCCTCAGAGTTTAGGGAGATACAAATATATAATTAAGATGGAGGAGGTAAGTACAGTGGTAGTTATACACCGGTTATTTTGGGAGGAAAGAGACAACATAACCTGAAGGAGGAAAAGTGGAGGGTGTTTAAGGACGTGCTCCTGGAAAACATAAATAGCAGGATGGAAAACGGGAATGGTGAGGGGTAGGAGAGGTCAGTGATCAATAATTTAGGCTCTCAGTTCCCCTATTTGTAAAATGGGATAATGATAGCCCCTATTGGGCTGGTGTGAGCATTACACACAGTGCCTGGAACCTGGTTAGTTTTGGGTATATAATTCATTCATCCACTCATTACACAAATATTTACTGAACTCTGAGTATCTGCCAGGCACTATTTTAAGAGCTCCCCAGGGGATACAGTGGCATGTAAGAAAGACAAGATCCCTGCCTTTGTAGACCTAATGGGGGAGACGGGCAATAAACACGTAAATGCATAAGCCGGATAAAAATGAGTAAACATGAGCTAGAGGGGCCTTCTGGATATGGGCTCTGAGGAAAACAGGAAGGGTACATACAGATGATGATCGGGAGGGGAGGACTTCAGATGAGAACACTAGGGAGTTCAAATCGCTTTTCTCACCTTGGCTGTCTCTGCTGCTGTCGCTCCTTATGACCACACGATGCCAGTGTTTAGGGAACCAGTGTCCTGGCTGATGCCTCATCTAACAACCCTGGGGTCTGTCCAGCTCTGTGTTCCCAACCAGAGGTCCTTCAGTGGTCCCTCGGGAAATTCAGGGCGCCTCCTGCAGGCTTCCATGTCTTAGTGCAAAGACTGTATCAGTTTCCCAGCAGCCGCTCCTTTCAAGTTCCTGCCATCTCAGAGGGGCTGGTCTGAGCAGGCTTAGTTCTCCATCTCCAAAGAAATATACATACTTGGTCTTTTTCCAAATCCTAGGAAATCTAGCCAATTACCCCCTTTCCACCCACATACAAAATTAAGAGCCCAGCTGCACATTTCTCACATAAAATGTCTTCATAGCTCACTGGGAATCACATGAAAGCTTAGAGAACTTGGGCCCTGACCCCTGGGAACCTAAACATTTGCTAGAAGGGATGCTATTTTTTATTCCTTCCTGATACATCTACACCAGCAAATAATAAAAAATCACATTGAAAAAGTAACTTAATTTCTTTTTTTTTTTTAAACAGATTTTATTTATTTGTTTTAGAGAGAGGAAGGGAGGGAGAAAGAGAGGGAGAGAAACATCGGTTGCCTTTTGCACTCACCCCAACTACGGACCAGGCCCACAACTCAGGCATGTGCTGTGACTGGAAATCAAGTGGCAACTTTTGGCTTTGTGGGATGTCGCCCAACCCATTGAGCCATGCCAGCCAGGGCACAACTTAACTTCTTAATAGTTGTCTTCGTTACATTATACTCTTTATCATCACTGCTATGGTTATTATTAATATGATTATAAACTAAAAGCCATGGAGTACCAATTTGTCATTCAATCAGGGGGAGGCACGTGGGTGGATTATCAATATGCAGAGATCGGTTCTCCATTCCTCAGACCCGAAGCACAGGTTTATTATGCCTTCTAGCATGATTAGGCTGAGAGAGACTGACCTGCAATTATCAAACTCAGAAAACACGGATTAGCTTGAGTGCTGGATTCATTAATTTCCCTGAGGAGTCTAACTGATAAGTGACCTAGAATAATCTACTTAGCTGGTCAAAACATATTCCATCCTGCAACATGGCAAGCCACACAAGGCCTTAAAGTGTAAGGTAATAGAATAGTGGAAATGGGATGAGACAACAGGCAGGGTAATTCAATCTGTGTGCCCATTTTTTTGCTGGGATATTACTCCTACCTGGGTAAGGATACATACATCCTGGGAAACAACTTCCCCTGTTAAGTGCTGGAGATCCTTTAACTTTCCTTTATTGAGAGTTGAATCATATATCCTCAGCACTGAAGGGAACTCAAAAGAGGACATTTAAATTGTCCTCTACCATCTGCTGCCTATCCTTAGCTGGCCTGTATGTGAAAAAGTCCAGTGACAAGGAGCTCACTACTTCACAGACAACTATATTTTTGGACATTGACTTATAAAAACCTTTTCCTCATACTGAGATCAAAACCTGTCTTTATAGCTTTCTGTGTGTGGCAGTTGGCCTCCCTGCTGGAACATCTGCACGACAAAATTTCTTTATTTCTATAGCGTACATCCTTGGAGTCTACCTAGAGTGAGACACACAGGACTGCCTTATTTAGAAATTTTCCCACAATCTCAGACCAAATATTGTGGGTTTATTCAGCCATTCCTTGTAAAATAGTATCAAATCTGGGCAATTCTTCTGTGAATTGTTTTCATTTATCCATATTCATTTTAGAGAGGGAAGTGGCAAGGTACATGGAAAAGCATGGCTTTCGTAGTCAGAGACATCTGAGCTTCATTTCTGGTGAGGGCTAATTCTGTTTTTTAAAGGTCTGTTATGAGGTTTGCACAGGAGTTTTCATTTACTCATTCATCCATCTGATATTGTGTTACATGACGGAGGAGGATGGTGTATTACTCAAACAGGGAGGCGACCCTCATGGAACTTTCATTAAACTGGAAATTGTAATAAAGTTTTATATAAGTGCTATGATGAGATAAATATACAGAGGTATAGCAAAGTGAGGCCTCTAACCCAAGAGGAATGGTAGTAGTCACAGAGGAGGTCTCTCGAGGAGAAATGATCTTCCCTCCAACCTGATTTTCTCTTCTGTTTATTTTTTATCCTATTGTATTATGTCTTTTTTATTTAAGTTTCTCAGGTGATTTTTTATTTTTATTTTATTTTTTTTTAATTAATTTATTTACTTTTTAAATACATTTGTCTCTGCCTTCCCCCCACCTCTTTCCCTTGCCCCCTCCCACCTTCCCTCCCTCAGCTCTTCCCCTTTGGTTTTGTCCATGAGTCCTTGCTATATGTTCCTTGATTTTCCCCTTCCCTTCCCTTTCCCTGCCCCCCCCCTTCCCTCTTGTCTCTGTTGATTTCTTTTCCTTTCAGTGTTGCTGGTCATATTTTCCTTGCTTCTTTGCATTGTTGGTTAGGTTCCGCTTATAGGTGAGATCATATGGTATTTGTCTTTCGCCCCCTGGCTTATTTCGCTTAGCATGATGCTCTCCAGTTCCATCCATGCTGTCGCAAAGTTTAGTACTTCTTTTTTCTTTCTGCTGCATAGTATTCCATTGTGTATATGTACCATAATTTTTTGATCCAATCATCTACTGATGGGCATTTAGGTTGCTTCCAACACTTGGCTATTGTAAATTGTGCTGCTATGAACATTGGGGTGCATAGGTTCTTTTGTATTGGCGTTTTGGTGTTCTCAGGGTATAGTCCCAGCAGGGGAATCGCTGGATCAAAAGGCAGTTCCATTTTCAGCTTTCTGAGGAAATTCCACACTGCTTTCCATAGTGGCTGCACCAGTCTGCATTCCCACCAACAGTGGACTAGAGTTCCCTTTTCTCCACAGCCTCGCCAGCACCTGTTGTTTGTGGATCTGTTTATGATGGCCATTCTGACCGGTGTGAGGTGGTACCTCATGGTGGTTTTGATCTGCATTTCTCTGATGGCTAGTGATGCAGAGCATCCTTTCTTTTTTTTTTTTTTTTTTTTTTTTTTTTTGTTTTTTTTTTTTTCTTTTTTTTTTTTTTTTTTTCCTGCTTTTCTTTGCTTTTTAGAATGACCTAATACAATAAAAATACAGACATCTGAGTATCCAATTGACATACTAAATCCAAAAACTGTGTTTATCTTTCTCAAATGTCAAGACTCTCCTCTGTATTCACCTTAGAAAGTGTTACAGCCAAAGACCTGACCCT